TTCTTTGGTAGCATTCACTCAGTGGGCAGACATAGGTGTTTGCATGAGCAACTGAGCGTACGCACACACACACACATACTAACTTCATTTATCCCTAACTTTCCTTCTAAGGACCTTTTGTTGTTTCAGTTCAGTTCAGTCGCTCAGTCGTGTCTGACTCTTTGCGACCCTGTGAACCGCAGCATGCCAGGCCTCCCTGTCCATCACCAATTCCCGGAGTCCACCCAAACCCATGTCCATTGTGTCGTTCATGCCATCCAACCATCTCATCCTCTGTCATCCCCTTCTCCTCCTGCCCTCAGTCTTTCCCAGCATCAGGGTCTTTTCCAATGAGTCAACTCTTTGCATGAGGTCACCAAAGTACTGGAGTTTCAGCTTCAACATCAGTCCTTCCAATGAACACCCAAGACTGATCTCCTTTAGGATGGACTGGTTGGATCTCCTTGCAGTCCAAGAGATTCTCAAGAACACCACAGTTCAAAAGCATCAATTTTTTGGCGCTCAGCTTTCTTTCTAGTCCAACTCTCACATCCATACATGACCACTGGAAAAACCATAGCCTTCACTAGACAGACCTTTGCTGGCAAAGTAATGTCTCTGCTTTTTAATATGCTGTCTAGATTGGTCATAACTTTTCTTCCAAGGAGCAAGCGTCTTTTAATTTCATGGCTGCAATCACCATCCGCAGAGATTTTGGAGCCCAGAAAAATAAAGTCAGCCACTGTTTCCACTGTTTCCCCATCTATTTGTCATGAAGTGATAGGACCAGATGCCATGATCTTAGTTTTCTGAATGTTGAGCTTTAAGCCAACTTTTTCACTTTCCTCTTTCACTTTCATCAAGAGCTCTTTAGTTCTTCACTTTCTGCCATAAGGGTCGTGTCATCTGCATATCTGAGGTTATTGATATTTCTCCCGGCAATCTTGATTCCAGCTTGTGCTTCCTCTAGCCCAGCGTTTCTCATAATGTACTCTGCATATAAGTTAAATAAGCAGGGTGACAATATATAACCTTTAGTCACTAGCTAAGTCATGTCCAGGCTCCTCTGTTCATGGAATTCTCCAGACAAGAATACTGGAGTGGGCTGCCATTTTCTCCTCCAGGGGATCTTCCTGACCCAGGGATCAAACCCACGTCTCCTGCGTCTCCTGTATTGGCAGGGGAGTTCTTTACCACTGAGCCACCAGGGAAGCCCCCTAAAGACCTTTATCAGTTTCCTAAGTGTTTTCTTAAATTCCTCTCCATGATGCATGCAGAATAATAATAATTTTGTGTTATTTTTGAAAGATGAGAATGTTTTGAGTACAGAAACCTTAAGTTGAAAACGTGGATGAAAACGTTGCCCAAATGCCATCAGCCCATTTTCCAAGGTGCTGAAGTAAACATCAGGACTCCAAAAATAGAGGTTTGGCTGTGCACAGATTCCTGTTATTCCCATCTGACTTTCTGAGGTCACAAGATAAGTCAGGACAAGACAGTATGAAAGTGTTTGAGTCCAACACTAGGTAGCATACCAGACTGTATACTAAGCCCATTCCCTCTCTGGGTCCAGGTTTCTTTTGGTGCGAGCTGAACTGGAGGGCACTCCCTTGTCCATCTCCCGGGGCCACAACAGTCCTTTCCTGTCCATGTCAGGAGAACTCAGCATGTGTGAGCCTTCCATGATTCTGAAGGCTTCTTTTCTCCCTGTTTATTCCTACTGTCCCAGGAAGTAGTATTCCCTTTATTCCATCACTTACAGAAGACTCTGTCTGTTGACCTTTCCTCTTTGAAGTTTTGAGGTGCACTAAAATATTTACAGTATGTAGACCAGCACTTGAAAGGGATTTTAGTTTCCCTGAGACATATCTTTTGACTTACTGAGGCCTTTTGATGCTAAGAACTCACTTAAGGTTTCAGAGCAAGGGTGGCTTAATTTAGGGAACACCTCTTGACATCCATCAGCAATGGCAGACTCATTAAGCCATCCATCTCGCTTTCCTCTGGGTGAGGCAGCGGTGGGCTCTGGGCTTTGCCGCTTCCTGGATGTCAGGTGCCAGCCTAGCTGTGGGCCAGCTGCAGTGCTCCTGACGGTTTTGTCAGTGCCTTGGGAACTGGGAGGGCAGTGCTGGGCTCCATGTGCCTGAGTGTGTGCTGGTTGGTCTGAGACTAGAGCGGGCAGCAAGGGGACCTGGCACTGCATAGTCCAGGAGCCAGAGGGTTCCTTGGAGTCTGAACTCAGAGAGAACAGAAACCAAGATCTTCAGCCTGTTGCACAGCCAACATGTCTTGTTTGTTCCATGTGGGAAGTCACGCAGCAAATAGCAGCAGGTTAAGTGAGGAAGGTACTACTTCAAGGGAGAGTGTGAAAACCAAGAAAGAAGAGAGAAAACGAATCCTCAGCATTAGGCAGTTTTTGTGGAGTGGATGTATCTTTTCTATTCCAGCTGCGGATGTCAGAGTCAAATCCAGATTCTACAGGAATCTAAAATCAACTATGATGTGTGGATGGGGCTGGTCTTATAACTCCCTCTTTCCTATGATGCTACTACAGGTGATTGGGTTAACAAAAATATTCTAAGTAAGCAATTAATTTGAGTTTTCTTGAAACCAAGTAGTTTGGTGCCTTAAAAGCATAAGCCATGGGGAGCAGATTGCTTTTGAATGCCAGTCTCTGATTTCTCACCCTGCCTCTAATTAGGTAGTAGACGTGCAAAGTAAAAAATGACTTATGAAACAGCCACAGGATAAAATACCATGTGGTCATTTTTAAAAAATCACATTGTCAAATGACATGTATTGACAAGGGAAAATGCTCAGTATGTAATATTATGTGAAAAAGCAAGAAACTGTATTTTGACACATAGGAGGGCCCAAATATTTCCTTTTGATTAAACGAACATTTCATAGATGAAGGTGGTGAAAACCTTATGTCTGTGCAAAATTCTGAGTCCATTGATGAAGATGCTGTTCGGCTCTTGCAGTGGAAAATCATGGACTAGAGGTCAACTACTCTGGGTATAGTCCAAGCTTTTAACCCTTTTGGGGGCTCAGTTTTCTTATTTGGAAACTGAGGTGGTGGTCTGCTCTAGAATGGTCCCTAGGGATCCTTTTGGGTCCTACACGTGCTGAGTTTTGGTCAGGGACTCTGGACAAAGCAGCTGAGAAGGGGCGCCACAAACAGGTCTCATATGGTTTGCATCACTTCATCAGTCAGACTTGGTCAACCTTGACCTCCTATTGTTTCCCATCATTTTCTATGACTGTCTTGAGTTTCTACCCCTCTGAGCCACTCCTCGCTGCTGCTGTGTAAAGAGGCCTCTTGATTTATTAATCAATTAATCAGTGCATGCTGAGGAGCTGTTCAGGGTAGTTAAACAGGGAAAACAAAATGCTGGAGTCCGTAATCAAGATGGATCATAATGAAGAGTGACCCTCCCATCGCTGATCTCCCTGCCCACCGTGGCTGCCCCACACTGCCCTCCTCACCCCCAGCTCTTCAAATCCCGCTCAGCCCTGATGGGGTTTCCACCGCATAAAAGATACCGCAAATTTCAGAAGGGAAGATTTTCTTCTAATGTCGTCAGGAAAACACACGTTGAGATAAGACTCATGAGTTACTTGCAGCAATTGTGGAATCTCAAAAGTTGAACCAGGCCCCCCAAACAGCACAGGGGCTCTGTCCATCTCTGCAGACATTGTACCCTACAGTGTACCCTACTGTATCCCCATTTCCCTACACAGAGTCATGGAGCGGGAAGAACCCTACAATAAAGATAAGCTATGGCCTTGAGTGACAGATGAGAGGTTCAGAGAGGCTCTGTAAGTTGTCCAAGGTCACACAGCTAATGAGTAGCAGAACTGGAACTAGAATCCAAGTATTTTGATAACCGGTTAATACACCTGGTGCTTGTTTCTCTGTGCAGTCCTGCTTTCCTACAAAAATTAAAGCAAAGTAAATGAAGAAAGGAGCTTCCCAAGTGGTGCTAGTGATAAAGAACCTGCCTGCCAATCGAGGAGCTGTAAGAGAGACTCTGGGTTGGGAAGATCCCTTGGAGGAAGGCATGGCAACCCACTCCAGTTTTCTTGCCTGGAGAATCCCATGGACAGAGGAGCCTGGTGGGCTATAGTCCATAGGGTTGCAAAGAGTTGGACATGACTGAAGCAACTTAGCACACACGCACACACACAAATGAAATTATCCTCATTAAATTCATTTTCTGGTTTTTTTTAAAATATATGCTTCTGAGCAAAAGAGTTTTTAATAGTTTTAGATGAAGTTTCTGGGGAAAAGTATCTTGGACTGCTTATGAAGGAGATATTTTTCTTCTGATGGTTCAGAATGTCAGCTACGTGGGTGCGGGCATTGCCAGCCTGCTGGGGGCTGATGGTTAACATGGGGACTCTGGTGGGGTTTGTTGGACTGCTGGAGAGGCTGTATCTCTGGGCTAGAATCTCTTTAGTTGGTTTTTCTTCCAGTGGCACTTAGCAAATAATGCTAATGAGGCCAGGGTTTAGAATAGAATCTCTGTTTTGGATCACAAGTAGTACCTCCATCTGCTTCCAAGTTTTCATAGTTTATGGGGCAGGGCACAGAGCATCAGTCCAGAGTGACTGCACTCACCCCCACCAGGCCTGGACACCCATTTGTGCCTACTTCACCCTTTTGTAAACACCTTGGGAGCATCCAGGTATGCCTATATAGCTACAGTGGACACAAGGGGAAAAGTCTGGAATGTTCTTATTTGACTAGCCTGGTAAGGAGGATGCTTAGAAATATATATACACATATATAAAATTAATTCCTTAACGTCTCCATTGTAAAATATTACATTTGTCAAATGTGTTTGTCAACTAGAGGCTCATCTGCCAACCTGGCTGCTCATTTCTGCTGGATGTCAATCAAACAATCCAACTTCTTGGATACATGAAGGGCTTAACTCATAAACTAGACATCTGAATGGCACTTACCAGCCTTGATTTATAGGCTGTCTTTTTTTGTTTGTTTATGTGTTCTCCAGGATCCTGCTTTCTCGGCGGTGATTCACGACAAGCTCCAGGTCCCCAATACCATCCGGAAGGCATGGAATGACAGGGACAACCGCTGTGACATTTGTGCCACGCACTTGAACCAGCTGAAGCAGGAGGCCATTCAGATGGTGCTGACCCTGGAACAGGCGGCTGGCAGCGAGCACTTGGATGGCTCCCCAGGCTCTCCCCCACCCCTCTCCAACGTCCCCACTCTGGTGGGTTCCCGGCACGTGGGGGGGCTCCAGCAGCCCAGGGATTGGGCTTTTGTGCCCGCCTCCTATGCCCCCTCAAGCTACACAGCCTTTGTCACCAATAAGCATAGCAGCAAACCCAACAGCCTCGGGGTCAGCAATGGGGCGGAGAAGAAGAGTGGGTCTCCAACCCACCAGGCCAAGGTCAGCCTCCAGATGGCCACCAGTCCCAGCAACGGGAACATCCTCGGCTCAGTGGCCATCCAGGCTCACCAGTACCTGGACGGCACCTGGTCCCTGTCGAGAACCAACGGGGTCACCCTGTACCCCTACCAGGTAAGTAGCCTCTGATTTAAAAAGGACAGGGTTGGCTACAGCCAAAGCAAAGAGGTGGGTAGCACTTTGTTTCTCTACTTTGTGTCTCTGGGAACTCCCCAATGCAGAGCCTAGTATTTCCATGTAGCCCTGCTGGATGATGCTAAATAGAGATAAAATGTCTGAGGGATCAGTGATCCAAGATGGTGCTCTGTTTCCATTGTCTATACCATCAAAAGAGAGGGAGACTCTCGTCTTAATTTCTCCCACTTTGACCGACCATAACCCTTATCTATTTGCATCTTACCTTAAAGTACATAGCTCAGTTGGTAAAGAATTGGCCTGCAATGCAGGAGACCCCGGTTCGATTCCTGGGTCAGGAAGATCTGCTGGAGAAGGGATAGGCTACACACTCCAGTATTCTTGGGCTTGTCTAGTGGCTCAGCTGGTAAAGAATCCACCTGCAATGTGGGAGACCTGGGTTGGGAAGATCCCCTGGAGAAAGGAAAGGAAAGAAAGTCCAGTATTCTGGCCTGGAGAATTCCATGGACTATACAGTCCATGGGGTCGCAAAGAGTCGGACATGACTGAGTGACTTTCACTTTCACTTCACTTAAATACTGTGGGATTAGGTTACCAAACATGTATTCCCCTTTTCTTATTTTCTCTTTTCTGGTATTTAAATTAGCATATGCTCTCAAGTTCCCTATAGAAATAAGACAGCAGGTCTTAAGTCTGCCAAGGAATCTAAAAAAGTTTTCTTAATTTTTTGGGGGTGAGTTTTCTGCTGGAGGAGGGTTGGATTTACCATATGTGCTCTCTGTGTCCACTGCGTCACTCATGGTGGGAAGCAGCAGAAAGTGTTGACTTTGAGTGTGTTAGTTGGGGTGGATAATTGGTGCAACAGTTGGTCTCAACTTATTTCGCACTTGTGTCCCTGTTGTATGGGGTGTTTGGTGGGTAGTCTTCCACTATGACATAGGGTCCTAGGCACCTCCATCTATCAATAGATAGATAATAGATAATAGAAAATGTCACCATTTTCCAGAGGTCTCAGAGTCTTCCACGAGATCTTGTACAACCAGCCAGGAACTGGAGAAAGAGAGAGAGGATGGAGGATCTCCCAGGGAGAGGTGGGGGGCCCAGCATGGAGGGGGTGAGATTTCAGTCTCCTGGTCCCATCTTCCCTCAAGGGAGGCTGAGAAAGCCAGTCTACCCATGTGTCCAGGAGAAAAAATAAACAAGTTGAGTGAATGCATAGCATCGTTTTTCTTTCATGGGATAGAGGTACAGGGAAACAGAAAATGAGTTGAATGCAGCTGATAAAATTCCTGGTGACTTTTCTAGAGTGTAATAGGGAGTGTAGATTGTTTCTCTTGATATCTTGAAAGAAAGTGGGGAGCATGGATCTTTATCTTGAGAAGTTAGTGATCTTGGACGGCCAAACTTTTTGTTTACCTGATGATGCTTTATAGTTTACAAAATATAGAGCACACATCATTTTATTTAAGCCCCCCCTGCCCCCGCCACGATACACCTGTGAGGTCAGCAGGACAGATGTTGGATCTTCCTCTTATAGATGGGGAAACAGGATGCTTAAAGAAATGGAATAATTACTGTGGTCACACAGCTGGTGCCAGAGTAGCACCAGGTCTTCCCTGACCAGGAGAATGGCTTTCCTTGGCCTGACTGCTTCCAACTTTCTGAGCTTACCCCAGAACACTTATCTCAACATCTTTTCCAGCTATGGTTTCTTTTAAGACATGGTACACCAAAAAAAAAAAGGCCTCCTATTTTGACCTGTGGGGGCCTGCCTGCCACTTCACTTTTGGACAGAATTTCCTGGGTTGTGGATAAAAATATAATGAGAAACCAGTGGCACCCTGGGTGGGACTTCATAGTCTAATGCTTGAATATAACCATCTAGGGCAGGAACAGAATAGCTTCTTTCCATTATTGAATAATATGCTTTTTTTTTTTTTTGGTTTGTAATTTAAAAATAGTTTTAGAAATTATAAAAAGTGATGCATGTCTGTTGTAAAATAAAATTTTAAAAACATGAAAAGGTTTAAGACAGACTTTAAAAAGCAACACCACCCAGAAATAGAAATTCACAGCATTTTGGTATATTTCCTCCCAGGATTTTATATGCATGCAGTTTCTAAAATTGTGATAATGTTCAGTTCTCTGATCTGCTTTTTGCTTAATATACTTCATGGTATTTTCCCATCATTATATATTTTTCTAAAATAGGACCTTTAATGGTAGCCTAATATTCCATTATATAAATACTACCCATATATGAATATGTCCTAATTTATATAACCAAGCATCAATTATTTGAGTTTAGGTTTTTACTACTATAAATAAAATGCTCTGGTGCACATCTTTCTACCCAGGTCATATTTTCAACGCATCCTGGGTTGTGCTAGCCACACACTCACTCATGTTACACAGACAACTCACATTTCACCTTCCAGGGCCCCAGAGCACTTGTAACATGTATCAGGTGCTAGTTAGAAGATTCAGCTGCTGCACGGTGCTGGTGAGTGAGGACAGAAGAACTTGAAACTGGTGCTTTCATAGAAAACATCCAGAGTGTGGGGAAGCTCTGTGTAGGGGGTGGGGGACTGAATAGGCTGCTTAAAAGGAAGATTGGGGATTATTGGTACATTTAAAATAATGTGTGCAGTAATTCTTCCTGCTCTTCCTTCCCCATGCTCCACCTCAGAGGAAAAAGAATTTCTTGTACGATATAAGTGTCTATAAGCTCTCCAAGTGCCAGACACTATGCTGTGTGTTGGGTGGGGCTCCTGCCATGGGCTGGAAACCCAGGCTCCTCCCTGTGGTCCTTAGTGGAGAAGGCAGGGGAACTATGTGTTATAACCCAGGGAGGTGCTTTCAAGGGTAGACAGATGCCCAGAGTGCTCTGAGAGCCTGCAGAAGGGCTTGAAGTCCAGTCCATGGGGCAAGGGTGTTTTGATGTGGCCAAAGGCAGGCACAAAGGTGATTCACGCAGTTACCAACTTGAGATCATCCTGGATACATTCAATTGCTTCTTTCCAACTCAGAACAGACTAATTTGTGCATTTCCCCTGAGCAGTAGTTAAAGGGATCAGAGGAAATCTCTCTGGGATAAAGAGATTTGGTGCCTGGTGAACCAATGTCCCCGCGTCATGACTATGTTATCCTCATGCCCTGGGGTGGGGGCTCTGGGTCTGGCTAGACTGCATGGCTCCTCTTATGGACATCTCCCTGCAGTAAATATTCTGCAGTTCACCGTCTGGCCAGCTCGCCAGAGATGGTTGACTGCTCTGAAAGCTGACCTCACTTTTCCTGCTCACCCTTACTCCCACTTCCCTCCCCACAGAGCAGATGGTCCTCTGGCTTAGTGCCAAAGCTGTTCTCTGGGCAGAGAAGTATCTATCTAGACTTTGTTGCTGCCGAGGGCACTGCTCCACACCAGCAAACCTGGAGCCTGTAGAAGCAAGGGAGAAGAGGACACTGTTCTGCCATTTAAGTACAGGGGGATGACAAGAATGAGGACAGGCTTTGCAGAAGTGAGCAGAGTAAAACCTCTGTATGGGAGAGAGAAGTGTTCCTCAGGCCCCTCAAGTTCCCTGTTTCCCACAGCACTGTGTGTGTGTGAAAGTAAAAATGTGAAACTGATAGTCGCTCAGTTGTGTCCAACTCTTTGCAATGCCATGAACTGTAGCCCGCCAAGCTCCTCTGTCCATGGGATTCTCCAGCCCAGAATGCTGGAGTGGGTTGCCATTCCCTTCTCCAGGGGATCTTCCCGACCATTTGTAGGCGGATTCTTTAATCATGAGTCCCCAGGGACGCAGCCTTCAAAGGCTGCAGTAGGAAATTTCTTGATTCTCTTTTGCTAGATCCTTCATTTTTCTCGACTACCTCCAGAGTGGGAATCTATAAGCTCTGCAGATAAATAAGAACCTATCCAGACAGGTAAGAAAAATAGTAATTTAGGAAGCACTGAGATTATATAAAAAATGGCGAACAAACCGCAGATAATTTTTTTCATTAAATATCATAGCAAGCTGATTTCACAGAAGTTGATAAGGTGGACTGTTTCAAAGAAAGATATTCTTTTATTAACTTGCAGACATTTAACACAGTGCAATGCTCTAGAATTTTCATTTTATCACATGAATTTTAGCTTTGAGAAGACATGTCTGGATTAATTTCTTGTAGTTCACCACAGATTAATTATATACCTCTTTTGAATGGCAACTGCTTTTTCCCAATTTACATTTATTACAGGAAATACTTACAGGAAAGACTTTACACATAATACTCTAATCCCAGAATGTTCGTGTTAGAATCCACTTCTGTAGGATAGTAATTGCCTTTTGCACCATGGTGGGAGATTTAGAGATGGTTCTGCCTAGTTCAAGAGTATGACTCCTCCAACTGTTGGATCTTGTTTTAGTAGCTTAATATTTTAGTCTCTTTCCTTATGGATGAAATCCCTACCTTGCAAGAGAACAATTTTTTAAAAAGTATGAACATATTTTATCAGCTGTCTAGAAACCAAGGCCAAGAGATTTGAAGTTTCTTTTGGGTAGAGTTTCCTGATTCTGTTTGATGTCTTTTGTTTCTTGAGAACATAGATTTATTTATTCTCGTATCTCTGACAGCAACTAACATATATTAAAAAAGGGATACTCATTAGGGAAAGTTCCAGTCTCAAGGAAACACTAAAGTTGTTTCTCCTGACTGGCCTTAAATTTAGGAAAAAATTCTAGGGTAGAAGGCCTATCCAGACCTCAAGGTTTTGGGTAGAAACCACCAGTTAATTGGCTCCAAGCTAATCTTTAACCTGAAGTATCTTAATGATAGTCAGTAAATCCTTGGGTGCAATGAAAGTAGTCCAGGTGGTTTTTTGATGTCACACTCAAAATAGGGACATTTGAAAGGGTTGAAGAATTTTATTTTGTGGGACTTTGATAAATTGAAGTTGTCAAGAAAATTCAGGAGTATGTTAAATTAATACATAAGTG